TCTTTCTTTCTTATGATTCTACCCTAAACCCCTCATATCCAATATATAATGATATTTCAACGGTTGGTAGGTAAGTTGCAATCAATTTGAGCTGTATAATTCACGTTGAAAGCTGTAAATTTTTCAACCGTTGAACGCTGCAATAATACAACACAACTGATTTTATGCTGCACCAATACAGCTATGATAACAAGAGTGAACAGTCTCGAAGCTATGGCATGAGGGACCAGCTATGGCTAGAAGCTAGTGCACGAATCTATGACACTTTGCAGCTCAAATCATGCTGCAATAATACAGCTATTACAGCTGCATGCATGAGTCTCCTGAGCAGATGTAAGAGGAATCACGCGAGGAGCAGGAGGAATAGGTTCTCCTGAGCAGCTGCAAGTGGAGAGGATTGTATGGCTACCTATCCTGCATGGCCCAACGTTGTTCAGTCCAAGCATGGACTGCATGGTGACCTTTGGCGAGCTGGGCGTGCATGGAGGTCGTTGGGCGTGCATGGAGGTCGTTGGGCGTGCCTGGGCGTGCATGGAGGTCGTTGGGCGTGATCTGGGCGTGCTGGTAGGTCGTAGGGCATGCATGGCGACCTACCAGGTCGCTGGGCGTGCATGGCGACCTAGTAGGTCGCCGGGCGTGCATGGCGACCTACCCCCGGGACTGTAGAGGACACCCCCTGAGCAATTAATCTGGCGATCCCACTATTTCGTTAAAAAAAAAATTTCAACGCACTATCAACGAGATTTTGCCCAACAAATGGTAACCGTTTTGGACACTGTACTTTCCTGTTTTCTCTCCACTCCAAATTCTGACATCATCTTGAGAGAAAAATGATAGGTGGATTCCCAAAATCTGATCGTCCTCATCTCGAAAAACATTCGATACAACCGTATGTTCCTTCCATTTTCGCAAACTTTCATCAATGAGGTCCGAGACGCTAATCAAAGCGTCCACCCGAGGAGAAGTCACCAAGGTTGGTCTCCTTCCTGGGAGCCAATAATCATTCCAGATGGATATGGAAAAGCCCATTCCCACTTTCCATCTTAGACCGGAATCCAACAAACCTTGAGCGCTCCATATACTTCTCCAAATGTATGAAGGTTGGCTACCAAGTCGAGAGTTGAGAAAATCACCCTGCGGAAAATACTTTGCACGTGGAAGGCGGCTAACTAATGAGGCCGGATTAGTAAACAGTCTCCAACCTTATTTTGTCAACAAAGCATCATTGAACTTCGCTAAATCACGAAAGCCCAAACCCCCGATTCCTTCAAAAGGCATAATGCTTTCCACGAACACCAGTGAATGCCCCGTTTAAAATGAAGAGCAACCGAAGCAGAAGCTTCCCCAAAAATCAAATTGTCATCCGCAAATGAGTAATCGTAGGAGCATAACGGTAAATTCAAACACCTTTCAAAACACCTGAACTCATTGCTTGTTGAAGAAGGGAAGATAACCCTTCACTACAAATAAGTAAGGGCTTAAAGGGTCTCTCTGACGAAGACCCCTCTAGGGAGTAAAACTCGGTCCTGCAACACCATTCACAATAACTGAATAAGATACTGTGCAAACACACTTCTTTATCACTTCAATCCATCCCGAAGAGAACCTCATTCGCAATATAATATCCCAAACGAAATCCCTCTCGACCCGATCATATGCCTTGCTCATATCGAGCTTCAGAGCAAAATAGCCACACCTCTTTTCCCGCTTACGAACAAACGACTGCAACATCTCATAGGCAATTATTATATTGTCAATAATGAGCCTACTGATGACGAAAGCACTATGAGATTCATCTATACACAAATGAAGCACACTTTGCAAACAATTCACAATCATCTTAGAAACAATTTTAAAAAGCACGTTACACAAACTAATATGCCTAAAATGACTGAGCCTTGTAGGATTATCAATTTTTGGAATTAGTGTAATATGAGTATGATTTACCTCCCTCGTATCGCAAACTCCAGTAAGAGTGCCAATGCAGAAATCAACAACCTCCAACCCCACAACATGCCAGAATCTTTGATAAAAGAGAGCACTTAGCCCATCCTCTCCTGAAGCTTTAAGAGGATACATATCCTTCAAAGCTCTACAGATCTCCCCTCTCGTAAAATTTTTAACCAATTCGGAGTTTATGTCTGGAGTGATACAGTAGTTTATACCTCCCAAAATCCTATCATCAGCCCAAGAAACATTAGATGTAAAGAGCTTCTGAAAATAAATGTGAGCCACATCCTCCATTCCTGCTTCATCATTCACCCAAGAGTCATCATCAATCTCAAAATAATAAACCTGATTCCTTCGTTTGCGTTGAAGACATAACGATGAAAGAAAGCAGTGTTGTTATCGTTATTTTTAGCCAATACGCCCAAGCGCGTTGCTCCCAATAAAGCTCTGCTTTGTCATATTCCATGTTTAATTGCAATCTAGTGTCCATAATATCGCCCAACGTCTCATCCGTGGGGGTACGCTCTATTAAATCCTACAATCACTTTTGTATCCCCCTCTTAGAAATATGCTTCGAACGATAAATCTCCTTGAACCAACTATTAAGCCCACGACAAACCCAACTGAGTTTCTTAGGAGTCGAACTATATGCTTCACGCCATAATCGACAAACCTCTTCCTCACAAGAATCTTCAAGAAGCCAAAACGCTTCTAACTTAAAGTGCCACCGATTATGAACAGGGGCCTGACAATCAGTTTGTAATAACTAATAATAGATGACAATGATCTGAAATTGAGTGATGAAGATGAGTTAATCTGAATGAAGAAAAAACTGTCGCCCAAGCTAAATTAATCAACCATCTATTAAGCTTTTCGTGAACATTCCAACTCAAGAGTTTCATGGCGGCCGATGGACCTGATCCTTCAAGTCAACCGATGCATTTAAAACAGTACTACTAAGGTTATTCTCCTTGTTTCAGACTTCAACAGATGGGTTACCACACTGTCTCTTTGCCCCATCATGTTTCGATATTGGAATCTCTTCACCCGCCTCTATCATAATAACATCATTCGAAGCATTAGTTTTAACAACACTCGCCCATTAATTCGATGATACTCCAACGACCACGCGACCCGTATTAAGGTGATATGGTCCCCTCCAATTACTAGTCGACCCGTCACTTGACCCCTCTTCACGTAACCAGGGACTTGGGGTGTAGCTTTGTCTTCTAGCTGGGGCCCTTAAAGTGGCAACCCACTACAGAACTAATTCTTGGTTTTCACGCAAAATACGTAGAGGGAAAAACCTTCCCCATGACCGAGCTTGCCACACAGAAAATAGAAGATCTTCAATTTTTCATACTCGAATGAGGTATATAGAAATTTATCATCCGGTAATGCCAACTTCTTCTTTCTCTTGAGCGATTTTCGTACATCCAATCGAGCCCAGAATATAATACTCCCCGATAACCTAATGAAACAACCGTTAAATTATACTCCAAACCCCCCACAAAATTGCCCAATGACCTAGCGACTTGTTCTGAAACAAAACCCACTGACAAATCATTTGTTAAAACCCATAAGTCCACAGTTTGAAGTTCTACCATAATTGGATCTTCTCCCCTTTGCAATCGATGAAGAATCAACATTTGAGAAATGAAGAACCACGATCCATCTCTCGCAATCCGATTAACATCTACTTCATGGAAAAGTAGAAAAAGATAACGACCACCCCCAGATCCATTATTGTAATCCCTCCAATTGGCCGGCAAACGTTTGCCAACATCGTTTTCATAGCCAAAAAATTAATATTTCCCGCAATGAGGAACCGTCCGACTAAACAGTTATCAAAAGAAATCAGAGAATCACCATTCACATGATCAACCGTCAAAGCCTCCTCCTCTTCCTCGCCCAAGTTTAAATCTTCTAACTCTCTTTCCAGATCACCCATATATCAAGCAAGACGAAAGAAATCAACTGCACAACAGGAGAGAAAGAGATCCAGAAAACTTAAGACCAAAACACAAGAATTTTATTGACGACACCGAGGATCAAAAACAACAAAAACCCGAATCTTGGTAGAGAAAACTCGAATCTTGGGTAGAGAAAAACTAAAATTTTATATTGATTTTTTAAATAAATTAAATATTTTTTATAACATGTAAATATTGAGAATTATTATTTGATATACTCTCGGTGAAAAAGATATCTATGAGCAGAGCTATAAATGTAATGAGTGACCAATAAATATAAGATACAATTGTAAGAGCATAAGACACTTTCCTTGTAAGAAGAAAATTTCAATTCGAATATTGAAGACGATATTATTGAAAAAAATATGAATTATAAAGATAAATTATAAAACAGATAGGTAAGATAAAAAAAAATATCGAATATCTTTTAAGATCAAGGGTTAGCAAAGTTTAAAAATATATATATTTCTTCTAAAATATGTTTAAAAATCTGAAAAACAAAGGAATATAGTAGTGTATGTATCTAGATATTGTCTAAACTGACCACTCAGGAATATAGCTTCAACGCATTAGCCAAACTTGATTAAACTATTAGCTTTTTTACAGAGGATTTTAGTTTAACTAATCTTCCATGTATATTTTAAAGTATGTTTCGTATTTAATTAAAGTCGGACCAAGTTCTTGAGATTCACCCCATCCATACAAAAAGACCATAACTACTCATTGAAAAATTAAAAGACCGCATCTCCGGTGTGTCCGCTATTTTACAGCACCCCCTTGTTTAAACGTTTCCCACTTGTGTGTTTTTGAAGGTAACACTTGGTTATCCTCAAAATCATCTCTAGATTAACAAGCAAGGAAACAGAGTCGATTACTTCGAGGAAAAGCATCTGTGAACTGTGCATGATGGGTTTAACTTCATTTTTTTTGGGCCTTATAAATATGAAAAAGGGCATTTTGAGAATGGACCAAGAAACTCGATTAGGAGATGGATAGCACACGCGGCAAAATCACATTTCACAAGCAGAACAAAAAAGAAAAGGAAATTCTAATAATTGCCTCAGCGGTCAGAGTGGAATGGAATGGAATCGAATCAGCACTAAAAACTCTTCAAGAAACGAATACGGACCTTCTGGTACCTAATTTAAACACAACACCCAGCCCAAAAATGGCTACCAATCTCTGCTGCAGGGCGCTTGTTTCATCCACCACCCGTTTCCAACTGGTCGGTGCGGTTTCCACTCTCTCTTCTTCTTCTTATTCTTCTTATTACCTCAAAACGGGTTGCGCTCAGTCTCTCCCCTTTGTTCGTCTCTTAAGGTAGTCGTTTGTTACTATCATCCCAATTCAACTATATATTGCCCATTTTATGTTATTTTAGCCTCTAATCTCCTTTGGGGTTCTTGTTTTAGATCCAAGTTCAGTACACAAACACCAGATAAGACAGTCCGCGCTGTGAAAATGGAAGCGAATAGCAACACTGTTCCAAGCATCGTTGTTTATGTTACTGTTCCAAACCGAGAAGCAGGTTTCCCTTCATCCTTTTTTTCGGGCTATGAAAAGTCATTGAATCTGAGTTTGGGGCAAGGAATCGTATTTCACACAATCTCAGAATTTCATAATTTAAAGCCAATTCTTCTTTTTCCCCCCCTTTCCTTCTTCATTTAAAGCTATTTGATTCACAATGTATTATGCAGGTAGGAAGTTGGCTGGAAGCATTGTCAAAGAGAAACTCGCAGCATGTGTAAACATAGTCCCAGGTTTGACTTTTTCGTCCATAATGCTTTTAATTTGTGCAATTTGTAAGATCGCAGCATCTGTTTTTCTTTTTTCAAGGGATAGAATGTCGATGTAAGTTTGCACGTATGGAAGTAGACTTTGACATTGAGCAGCTGCCTTCATATAAGGACAGAGGTTTTAAGGACTTAAGGAAATCTTTTACTTCTTGATTTCTTCGTTTCCTCGTACTTCTTTCAATAAAAAAAGGGATTTTTGTCTTTGGGGTTAGATTTTGCTTTTCTGATTTTATAATCATTTGAACTATAGTTACTGAAATAGATTTCCTAAGAGTTGTGAATGCAGGTGTGGAATCGGTGTATGAATGGGAGGGAAAGGTATGAACTTTCATTTGGATAGATTGCTTTTGTTGGAATAATGCAAGTAAAACCATTGAGCCTTCAGTTTTCCTGACAAATTGAGAAATATTTTGAGAATCTAGTACAGGAAAAATCCATTTTAACTCGTAGAGTTTTTGCATAGGCAGCCAATCTAATAAGTGTTTCTGACGGTCTTGTGTTAAAGCTAAGTTTATATTCATTTATACAAGCTAGAACAGCGTAAAAGGTTGTTTCTATCTGCTCTGCAGATCAACACAGATCCTGAGGAGTTGCTGATAATCAAGACAAGGCAATCCCTCCTGCCAGCACTCACAGAACATGTCAATGCAAATCACGAATACGAGTAAGCACAAAATCTCAATTTTTTTTCAACTAAAATGTGATTAAGGTTTCAAATTTAACGATTGAAATCCCAACTGGATGAGGGCAGAAAGGGTTGTTTTCGAAATAAAATAATCGGGGCATCCCTTAGTTGGAACTTTACCTTGAATCCCTTTAAAGCTATGAGCACGTCATTTTTCAAATAAAGAAATCAAGAATACAATAGATCAACATTGATCTTACACTTGCCTTCATTATTGTTTTTTTTCAGTGTACCAGAAGTAATTGCCTTACCCATCGATGGTGGCAGCCCCCAGTATCTAGAATGGCTTAAGAACAGCACAAGGGATTGAATCTCTCGTGTTTAGTATGATGGTGTGTGTGTGTGTGAAACCGGTTTAAATATTTACAAGGGTTCTGGATCTCATATACAGTTTGTCTGAATGTATGGCTTCTTCTAGCTCGAGTAGAGGGGGCTTTCTATGTGAAAATCTAAAATCTATTTGTAATAAGAATTAAGAAATGTCTTAGACCTTAGCGTCAGTTACTTCCAAAATAAGACCAGGGATTCGCATTGTTAAATACAGTGTATTATCTGTCGTTTTAGTAGACGCTGCCTATCGGAGTCGCTTCCAAATTTAGAAAACTAGTCGGAATTTAAAGAGATAATAGCAACATCATGTCAAGATCAATTCAAAGCCCAATTTTAGATTACACGCTTTAATCAGCATAAACAAATGACATTCAAAGCCCACCTCCTCGAGAAGAAAAACAGGACCAACAAGGGTTAAACCACCTTCTATGGCTCATCCAACTGGTCCTGCATCACAACCAACATTACATACAGTTAGACATTGGTGAAATCATTGTGTCAAAGTCGCCATTAACATGGTCTTAATTGTGTGCACGCACGAGAGAGAGTGTTCAAGTGAGAGAAGGAAGGCACTGACCTGAACATCTGAAGTCCAGAGAGTAAGGTTATCCCTTAGGAGTTGCATAATGAGAGTGCTGTCCTTGTAAGACTCTTCTCCCAGTGTGTCAAGCTCAGCAATGGCTTCCTCGAATGCCTTTTTAAAGAACCAGGGATATTTAATGAATATCCAACTTGAATTCATGTTTTATTCTTACTAAAAATACCAACATTTATCAGAGAAATAAGTCGAGATACCAAAAATGTTAGCATTTATTTAAAGCATCCGACTGAGGTGGTCTTTAAACAAGTTACATGCATTAAGTTGCAGTACTTCGGTGGTTGGCCACATTCCACTTATTTTCTCCTCATAAAAGTAAACAAGGGTGGCCATAGGAAACATATCCAAGCATTTTAACTCCGAACAAGCAGATTGATCTACCTGTTGCTTGAAAATGATGTATTTGTTACTAGTAACTTTTTCCCTCTTACTAATGGCCCTAAATTTCAAAGGTTACTAGTAGACCTAACGGCGGAAGCAACATATCCAAGCATTTTAACTCCGAACAAGCAGATTGATCTACCTGTTGCTTGAAAATGATGTATTTGTTGCTAGTAACTTTTCCCTCTAACTAATGGCCCTAAATTCCAAAGGTTGCTAGTAGACCTAACGGCGGAAGCAACAACAACAAAGACATTCATGTCCGACATTTCATTATTCCTCAACAAATATTGCTGAAACTCCAGTATGCTATGCTCATAAGGATATGGTTGGCTAATAACAGGATTGACTTCAGTCTCTTTACGATCCTCATTTCACAAACTTCAAACTTACAAGTAAATTTAAGGTACTAGAAATAGAATGGCCAGAATCAAGCAACAGAGCTTACATATTTGCAAGAATTGGCAGAAAATCATTCACCATTTCAATTACGATAATGCTGGTTCAAACTCTAATCTAATTGGCTCCTAACAAAGTCATCTACATCAAGTCATCAACAGAATAAGTCAAAGCAACCTCCTTTTAGTACCCCCACTAAACTTTAAAGGACGAAAGTAAGGATACAAACCATAAATAAACAGTTATAAAACTTTCCATATTCGAACTACTCAACTAATCAGATTAAATGAGCTAATAATATTCTATGAAGAAACCAGCAAGGCCATTGATAAAAAAAAATCACATTATTTTTCATTTTACATTGGTTTATGCAGCGCTCAACATAAGTTGGAGATTAAAAACGACTCACCTGTTTAGCCATGCTACAAGCCTTATCAGACTGATTGAGAATCTCATAGTAGTACACCGAGTAATTCAGGGCCAGTCCCAACCTGATAGGGTGCGTTGGTGCTAGATCCATCAGCGCAATATCCTTCATTCAATTCAACACAAAATCCAGAGTTTTCAACTTCAAAAAATACTGAATTTTCAAAATGAGAACTCTAAACCTGAAATCACAATTCCAAGTCAACATCTAAAATTCTACTCTAGCATTCAACTATTTAGACAAAGCCAGGCTCCAGGTTAAAAAGTTACAGATCTCTTGTAAGAAACAGTCACCTGAGCAGCCTTGTAAGTCAACATAGTGTCCTCAGCAGCTGCTTTCCTCTCATCACCAACCTTAAACTCTGCTAAATACCGATGGTAATCCCCTTTCATCTTCAAATAGAAAACCTTGGACTCACTCGCAGCAGCAGAAGGGATCAGATTCGAGTCCAATAAAGTCAAGATACTAGCGCAAACATCCGACAACTCAGCTTCAATCTTCGATCTATACTCCTTGACGAGCACAACATGTTCCTCGTTCTTCCGACCTTCTTCTTTCTGCTCGATGGAAGAAACGATTCTCCAAGCGGCGCGTAGAGATCCGATCACGTTTTTGTAGGCAACCGAGAGAAGGTTCCTTTCCTCGACGGTGAGTTCGGCGGCATGAGTTGAGCCGAGGACGAGCTTTTGCATGAACTGGACCATCTCCTCGTAGCGTTCGGCTTGTTCGGAAAGCTTGGCTAAGTAAACGTATTGGTCACGGCTTATATTGTCCGGCACCGTCGTCGTCATTTGCAGAAATTGGTGGGCAGCGTGGGCTTATGGGGGTACAGAACGAGAAGAATTTTATTTTTTTTGTTTTTTCTTGAGGGCGCGGCCTTAACTTGAAGATATGTTTTTTTTATGAAGGGGATGACGAGGGATTAATGCAATTATTGCTCATCTGTTTAATAAAAATAGGGTACATTATACTATTGATCATTTAACTATTTATTCCTTTTACTTTTACTACCAATCTTTCAATTTTATCAATCACACCACTAAATTATTTAATTGTTCTCAATCAAGCCTATAGTTGTTAACAGTTAACGAATTAGGTGATGTAGTAGTTAAATGTTTTAGTATAATTATACATTTGGTCCCTATTATTTACTTATTCTTTTAATTTAGTCTTACTTTTAATATAATAAACTATTTTCGATATAATAGTCTACTTTGCATTTGACGACGATATAGCTATCTAGAAAATATACAACCATGTACATCAAAATTGTTACAGCAAAACAAAATAGGCAAATGCAGAAAAATAAACCAATAGAGAACTAAACAAAATAGCAGCATAGTTACTAGTTATATAACACCCTAAACTCGATTGGACCTAAAGTGCCACATTAGGTTGCCGAAACAACCCATGACTTTCAAAATTTGTTCATTTTCATTTTAAACCATACAAAATGACATCATAATAGATGTAAATAACAATTATAAAAACACTTTCATAAATCAAAGCTCTGTGACACATTGTTTAAAACCAAAATAATACAAACTTAAAGTCCGATAAACCAAATACATGAGTAAGGTTCTATGAATATATATGCCCATTTAAGCTACAGTATAGTACTTTGAGTGAGATGCTGGAAGTCATGTTGCCATGATGTTCCACGAACGACCCAATCTAAAAACCTATGAACGAAAACATTCGAATATTGAGCTTACAAAGCCAAACAGTATAATCGCTAATGTAGAGCATCATTATGAGTCTCATAAACACAAGCATGCTAAAGATATGAATACTAAGTAGTAGGAATATACATGATCATAATCAAATGCTACATACTTAAAGTTTAACTATTCTATCGCTAAAATATGAGTATCGTGTTTTTCTTAATCCTCTGCTAAGGGCATCGCCATTAGTACACCACTAATGGGTCTCTAGACACGATGACTGTAACTATTATGTATTCTCTAAATACGACACATGACATATTGTTGTGCATTATCTGAATTTGACACTGGACACATTGTTGTGCATTATCTGAATGCAACACACTACTAGTAATGGTCTCACATAGCCATCATCTACTAGTTAATCGAGGGAACCTGATAATCATATAGCATCAATAAAATTCCCACTAAGGTGCTAAATGATCTTCTGGTATCACATGGCATTCAAGTATATCATGAATAGAGAAATAAGTGTCATATAACATCGGTTCAATTCCCGCTCAACTGAAGCATTGTCTCGGTCTCACACAACCTTAAGCCAAGCTCTAAGGATATCTGTTGTATTGGGTTGATACAACTATACATGCATGATTGGGTTTCAAGGCCACCAAATACTAACAATGCCCTTCGTGGGTAACTAAAGTAGCTTAGTTACACACCACTGACAATGCCCTACTAGGGTAACCGAGGTAGCCTCACCACACACTAGTTAGCTCGACATACAAAAGTAAGGGTATCCCCTCACTAAATGTTATCTCACTCGTCCTCTCATGTAGAATATTATGCAAGAGTTTATTAGGTTGTTTTATATATTAGTCTGTTAATCTACTTTATTCTAGTTATTTAACACTGAATGACATTTTCGATATTTATGTATCTAAGGAGATATTTATATGTTTCGTGATTTTACGATGATTATCGATTCCGTTGTTTACTTATTGTATTATTTGCTAGCCTGATACCCAACTCGGGTTCATTACTTGGTAGTGATACTCTAGTCATTATCATTATACTTTCCCTAAATTTACCCTTATATTTTAGGAACAACTTGTACACCATCACTTTATCGATATTCACATTATACACAGCTTCTCTATTACATTATTCGTATAATACCTCATTTCACTTGTAAACATATCCTTCACAATGATTCTTCACTTGCGATCGTTCGCTACATGCACCTTCAGATGTACTTTTGAAGTTATTTATCATTAAGGCTATTTTGATAATTTATGCCATCTAGAGGTATTTGAGTAATTTCATAATTTATGATCATTTTCCAAGCTTAATTGTACATTTTATAGCAATCTATAGACATTCGGATACGACGATCAATGTTTTGAATCTTCTAGTATTAGACAATATTGATATTGGTATTGATACTGGTATTAATACCGGTATTGGTACATGTATTGGTATTAGTATTGATGCTTATATTGATTTTGATATTGATACGAATATTGATACCAATATTGATACCAGAGGGGCATTATTGATACTCCTCCCCTCAGTATCGATACTCCATGCTAAAACTACCCAAAATTTATCCCAGTTCATAAAGTATTAATATTGTTTATCCAATATCGATACTCAAACCTAGAATTGTCTTATTTAGGCTCAGAAAACACCCAAAAATCATCCTAAAGGTCTTAGTTT